TACAATGTTGATGGAATATTTTTTTGCTTGGCCCAAAAATTTTTAATGGAATTTAACTCACAATGAAATTTTGGATAAAAAATTATTTATGACCTCTGCTCTCAATGATTTCTTCAAGAATTGTCTTCGATTTAAACATCTGGTTCCAGACTCAAATTAATACCACATGATCAATTACTTTACTAGTTAAGTAATACATCCCCCTTCCGAAATCATGATGTAATATTTGCAGACAGAATTTCAGCGCTGTGACGCGATTAGATGTCCTGCACCATAGAGGTTTTATTAGTAAAAATGGACTTTTTATGGTCCAAAAATATATTTTATTTTCGTTTCGGGTTGCTATCCAAATCCGAACCGAATCGGCCTATGCGAAGAACTATTCCAAAGTTACCGGATAAATTTTTTATTTTCCCCGTTTTTTCCGCTTTTAATCCGATTTTCATCAGATTTTAATCCGGAAATTTTATAACTAAAAAAACCGGATTTTTGCCGGATTATTGTTTTCAGGGGCTTTAGTTTTAGATACTATGCTATGGAATAACTAAAAACCCCGGCTACAAATATTCGATAGCAATGACTTATGCAAAGATAGCAAATATTGTATATGAATTCCAACTATCAAAAATTAATTTTGAAAGATAAATTAAACTAATCTGAATAATCAAATTACCAGTTTTGACAGCACTTTACTTCTTGTGAACTTTATATTTACATTTAAAGTTGCAAAATTTAATATAAAATTACACCCAATGATGTATAAATCAAATTTTTGGTAACAAAAAATGGAAGGGTCGTTGTTAGAGTTACCTAATTAACTTCTTATGAACTGTAAATCTATTAACATTAATGTTATGCTACCGCTACGATTATCATTGGACACACCGATTGCTAAAAATTGTGATGGATGGTGTCTTTTCACTCAGTATTTTAATAATGTGACTTTGTTGTATTGGGTTTGTGCAAAAAAAGCATTCATGAAGTGCTTCTCTTGATTCAATAAAAAATCATAACTGATGGTGCCCACAATGCGCAAAATTCTAAACCGGACATCACATTGGACAAAAATGTGACGCAATTTTGACAACACTGTTATACAAATACGTACGTAGTTTTATCGTTATGCATTTCTTTTTGGCTTCAGCGGGAAATTACAATTGTGTAACTTGTTATTTTCCTTTGTATTAATACATGAACTTTATTATCTTATCCCTTTATTTTTTCTAAAAATTTTTGTTATTAACACTAATTGTTGATAATATGTAAATGTATCGGTATACCATAAAAAAAGTCTAATATAGGACACCCGTGAAGTTGTTGATGTTAAAGGGAAAATGACAATCCATTGCATTGTCATTTCCCTCCTATTTCCGTATTTGTATTATTTAACAAAATATAATATGCCAAGGGCTAACTCATGACATCTCTAATTCCCACTGTCAAAAAAGAATCCAGCGAAGACAGTCAGTGAAGAATTAATTTATAAATACGTCGAATATTGTTCTTTATTATCAAAAACAAAATAATCATTCGATTGAAAATGAGATACGTAAATGAAAACAAAGTTTTGACATGATGTATGCATCTTTATTTTTATTTTTAGAGAAATAAGAACATCAATAGTTAAACATTTTATTGAGATTCAATTGAACCTTAATCATTACAATTCGCTGAAGCGGCATCTATAAATAAGTAGAAAATTCGCTGGAACGGGGTCTACAAACAAGTACAAAATTTTACTGGAACGGAGTCTATACATATAACAAGTAAAAAACTATAAGCAACTTATATCTATAAATAGGTATCTTACCAAAATATCTTTCGACAAAAAATCGTTCCATTACATTACTTTTTATATAATTGAAGCCAGACAATGTTCTCTCCCCAGAAAATCACTATACCCCCCCCAAGAAATGGCCGATAATAGGCTTCAGAATCAATTAAAGAATCAAAAAAAAATAAATATTGCAGAAGAAAAATATATGCTTTTGACGTATACCAATTTGCAATAAAAAAAGCTAATGAAAATCGACCTAAAAAATTATCTAGTAGAGAATTTTTAAGTAAAGGCGGAGAACTTTGGAAACAAGAGCCTAAAACTGTAAAAAATAAATATAAAATAATAGCGCAAAAAGCACAGGTGATTTTAGAAGGATTCCTTGAAAATTTATATCATTTGCAGAACTCGAAAATATCACCTGCGAGCAAACTGTGGACCAAACTGGTACATCGAATCATGCGTACGTAAATACAGAGGAACAATCTGACCTTTCATCAACTTCCAATCTAATGTTTCGATGTTTCGGTTACGCCCAAACTGGTCTTTCGCTAACTTCAATCTAATATTTCAGCTTCACTTATTGCATTCTCTGCGCATGTTGGAGTGTCATTACAAATTTTACGGATATTATCCGAATCTCTTAATGAGACGTCGAAGCCCTCACTACCTTATCATTGAATTAATTAAAATTTACCTTTTCGCTATTTGGCTTGATGCTAAAAAAAATTTATAATTATGGACCGAAATCGGCCAATTAAGGCGGTAAAATACGATCAACTGATAAATAAGTAATGTCAGCTTTATTTATTGGCTTCTCATAGTTTATATTCGTTTGTTTAGTTTACTGTATACTTATCAAAAAATCCCCTCCCCTTCTTTTATTTAATGTAAAATTTCATATATTTAGTATATTTGATTTTTCAAGCAACCGAGTAATTAATTTTAAACAGGAATTATAGCCTTTGAAAATTAAAATTTTTATTTAAAATAAAAAGCGTCGAAAAACATAGTTGGTTCATATTATTGAAAAATGCTTCACCATACATGAACCGAAGTACTTGTTATGTGAATAAAGTCTCTTCAAATCCTCCGGTGCAATTTTAATGGAATACAAATTAGCCTCGTGAACCTTTTGATGAGACATTATGCTTTTAGCCACAATTTTTCCTAACGATGACGGAAAATTAATTGCTAATCAGATAACATGCAAAGCCAAAATAAGTTCGCTTTGTAAATGTGCACGTAAATAAATACATTTATTCTACAACAATACGTAAACTGTTATTATAGAATCAGTACTTTTTCGTCTCATTATGTCTAGTGTTGTCCAAGTAGCAGTTTACTATGTCCATATTATGTTTATATTACGTCCAATTGCCAACACTGGGCTCACAAGAGTTTGATATTGATATTAAGAATGATAGAAAAGATAATCAACATCATCATCCTCTAAATCAAATAGCATTTTATCTCGATCCTGTTATCCTGATAACGGCCGAAAGTTCAATTTAATCTCAAAAAAATTACCCGCCAAAAACACCATAAGTTAATAAAGACAGAGTCTCAATATTAAACAACTAGATTTCAAAGATTATAAAACAACAATAAATGTCCTATCGAAAACGTGTCGGGAGATTAAATAAACGGGAAAACAAGAATAATAGTCATAATAAAGTATTTTTAACGTAGGTATTTCACGAAAGAGAGGTTTTGGGACTACAATAAAAAAATAAAACTGTGTATTATACGGATCGGTATTGATAATTTTCCAAAACCAAAGGAAAATTCACATATCCTGATTTATTTACACTAGTTACAAACACCATCATCACCACATAAGAAATCATAGCAATCAGCGTTGCTGCCGCAAGGGTCACCAGAACCACAGTCCTGTGCACCGGCCCCCAGGGTACACAAACAAAATTCAAGTCGACATACTTGGGAAGCACAATCTTGGTGATGCAACGATTTCCAGTATCACATCCACGGTTCCGTTCCCCGGAAAACAGACAATGTCTCTCGGTTTTTTCTTCGCATGCGCAGCTGTTTAACAAATATAAATTAATCGTTAAAGAAACGTGATTTGAAACTTAGTGCAGATTAATGGCCGTTTGATATAGACAATTTACCTTGATCAGTGAGCAACAAGGCCGTTACTAAGTAGACAATGTAAATGAAAAGAGATAACCCGAAATGATGCTTCATGTTTGTAGCAAAAAATTTTAAAATTTTTGTTTATGAAATAATGAAATCTGTCTCAATGACACTGTTTATTTTTGTATATATTTGAACACAATCTGATCGTCAACTAAAGGAAAAAATCAGTATTTCATTCAGGTGTCAATGGTTTTGTGAAAATCCATTTTGTAACTTAATTCTACGTACATGTATTAAATAATATTTTTCCCTATTCAAGACAAAAAATATATTATGAATAAAGATCGTTATTGTGAAAATAATAACAATAAAGATATTTAGACGTTTATGAAAGGTCGACGAACAAATGCTTGTGTAAAAGAACTAGCTGCGAACATATTAAAAAACTTTATTCTTTACGAATTTATTGTGGGGGCTCATATTCGTTTTTATTAGACAAGTATTAATAGATGCGTTTTCATAGTAATGCTCCGTAAATTGCACGATAAAAATTGTGCTCAAAAAACTGATACTGCAAAACCAAACATACCAATCATTAAGGAGAAGAAGCTGCGGAAACAACAATAAAATCCCTGCAATAAAAACGATCTCGAGAAACTTTTAAAAGAAAAAAGTTTCCAGAGCCTTTTTTCGAATTTATTACTAAAACAACAACGTAACCCTGTAAAAAAAAAAACAGGATTCTTTTTCCGGAAATTTTTAGGATCTTTCAGAATTTTGGAAATTTAACCTAATAAAAACCTTATTACAGAGAAACCTTCTAAATGCACGCACTATATACACCCTTCCTAAATGCATGCTATGGCTCAATCCCATATTTACTCTCTATGAATGCACACCTCTCTAATTCACATTCTGTCTTTTTTTTTAATATAGTTCCAAGGGGGATGCACTTAGAGATGTTTCGCTGCACTGATTTTTATTATTTTCTAAATAATAATACTTAACCTGGAAAAAAAACAATAAAACTGATAAAAATCATTATCATGTTTATCTCTGATCCTTTCAAGATTTTTTTCAGGTTAAATTTTATTATTATTCAGAAAATACTTCAAAATATTTAATCTGACAGAAGTCTAATAAAAGCTAATTAAAAATTAGTATTAAGATTTTTATTAGGTTAAGTACAAAAAATAATTCAGAATATTTAGTTATTTTAATTTTATCAAATTAAATATAAAAAATGATTCAAATATCAATTTATTCTGATTTTTATTAAAAAATATTAGTTTTAATTAAATTAAATGCAGTAAAGATAAAAAAATACAACATCAAAATTTTATTAATAAAATACATATTTTTCTCTTTATATAAAAGATTTTAATTTTATTAATCAATATTTTTTATTTTTATATAAAAATATAAATAATAATTCATATTTTAATATATATTTTTTTATATT